CGATTAATCCTGGAAGCCCCGGGTGCAGACCTGAGAGGCCCAGGCATCTGACCCTTCTCTCCTCCCCACTACCCCCTATAGGTGGTCCGCAGCAGCCTGGAAGAACAGGGACTGCATGTACACAGCGTTCGACTGCACGGCTCGGCCGCCAGCCATGTGCTGCACCCCGAGAGTGGCCTAGGCTACAAGGACCTGGACCTGGTGTTCCAGATGGACCTGCAGAGTGAGGCGTCCTTCCAGCTGACCAAGACAGTGGTCCTGGCTTGTCTGCTGGACTTCCTGCCGGTGGGTGTGAGCCGGGCCAAGATCACGCCACTGACCCTCAAGGAGGCCTACGTGCAGAAGCTGGTGAAAGTGTGCACGGAGCTGGACCGCTGGAGCCTCATCTCGCTGTCCAACAAGAGCGGTAAGAACGTGGAACTCAAATTCGTGGACTCCGTGAGGCGCCAGTTCGAATTCAGCATCGACTCCTTCCAGATCATCCTGGACTCGCTGCTGCTCTTTGGCCAGTGCTCATCCACACCAATGTCGGAGGACTTTCACCCAACTGTGACAGGCGAGAGCCTATATGGGGACTTTGCTGAGGCCTTGGAGCATCTGCAGCACCGTGTCATTGCCACCCGCAGCCCTGAGGAGATCCGTGGCGGTGGCCTCCTCAAGTACTGCCACCTCTTGGTGCGGGGCTTCCGGCCAAGGCCCAGCACTGACGTTCGTGCCCTACAGCGATACATGTGTTCCCGTTTCTTCATCGACTTTCCGGACCCGGTGGAGCAGAGACGCATTCTGGAGCGCTACCTGGAGGCCCACTTTGGTGGAGCAGATGCAGCCCGCCGGTATGCTTGCCTTGTGACACTGCACCAGGTGGTCAACGAGAGCACAGTGTGCCTCATGAGCCACGAGCGCCGCCAGACCCTGGACCTTATCACCATGCTAGCCCTCCAGGCGCTAGCTGAGCAGGGCCCTGCTGCCGCCGCTGCCCTGGCCTGGAGACGTCCAGGCTCTGATGGAGTTGTGCCAGCCACTGTTAATTACTATGTGACCCCCATGCAGCCGCTGCTGCCCCGGGCTCACTCCTATCCCACCTGGCTGCCTTGCAACTGACTGATCCTGGCTAGAAGGGAATGAGCTTCATGGGGGTGGGGCAGGGTCATCAGGTATGTGCAGAGGATATGGCCAGACACGGGCCGCCTGTGCCAGCTGGCCTGGTACTAGAGGGTTGGGCTTTTGAACAGACCAGACTTTTCCTGCATGAGGTTCCTATGGGCCAAGTCAGGTTCTTGACAGGAGGACCCTATGGTCATCGTACCACACTCTTGGACCTGCATGACTTGGGTCACAGAGACTAACTTGTTGAAAAGACAAAGTCAGCTGGGGTGGCACTCTTAGTACTGACACCTTGGGTCGATTTCCATGGCCTAGATGGGGTCAGCCCACAAGGACCCAGAAGCTCCTACACTGGCTACAATATGACATCACTGGCAGGAATGCTCACTTTGGGGTCTATATGAATGACTCTCAGAGCCGGGTGGTCCAACCTCGCTGACCATTAAGAAGAGGTAAACTAAGGCATGAGGCAGCTCTCTGTGTTTCAGGCTCCTGAAACCCATGTGGACTTCTTGAGGTGCTGAGGTATCCAGTGGGCAGGTAAACAGCCACGACAGGATGCCACCCTCTCCCTTCCCTTGTGCCTCCCAGGAGCCCTGCTGTCTGGGCACTAATGCTGGGGGCTGCCGGGTTCAAAGCTGCCACAGTCAGCTACTCCCACCCCACAGCTCGGTTATGGGATTTTCACGTGGCGGGCGGGCGGGAGGGAGGCATACCCCATCTCCTTTCCCATTCCTCTGAGCTTGCCACTGTGGTGCACTCTCCCACCAATAAAAGAGTCTATACCTGGCATCACCGTATGCTTTCTCCTGGGGTAAGGATCTCTCTGGCACAGGGTTGGCCCTACCTCTCCAGGCTGTTTGACTTGTGATGTGGGAGGAGGAGCCAAGGAGCGGCTGTGGCGTGTCCCTCCTGTCCATAGCTTGACAGCTGTGAACTGGGAGTCTGGCGGGTCTCCATGTTGGCTCAGCAAGTCTAGGCCTCTCGTGTTAAAGGGGTATATACCCTGGAATCCCAGAGGCCCAAACCTGGCCTTTGGTGAGCAGGTCTGCCCACTCTGCCCAGGCAATAAGCAGGGTGAATCTGAACTGGAATGAAAGCTGAGGCTAGGGGACTTGCAGCGGTCCCCCAGAGTCCAGGTATGGTCTTCCAAGCAAGTGGACACGGGCATGCTCTAGCTCATTGTGAACATGTCCCCTAGAGATTGGCTGGGTCTCTCTGAACCTAGCTGGGGCCAGCCAAGTGGTCCAGCAGTGCCAGCTTTTGGGGAGCTAATCCCTCAGGGCATCAGTCACTCACTTCTGGACGCTGCCTGCTGTTTACCCTGCCTCTTTGATCTGGGGGATCGCAAAGCTTTTAACATACTCAGCCTCATTAGGCCCCTCTGAAGTGGTGACTTTGATGGTTCCAGTCAGATGGGAAAGAATAAAGCAGCAAAGGAGGCCCCAGGTCATCAGAGGGGAGTCTTCACCTGCGCTGTGGGTTTGGCCAGGTGCCTCAGTTCCTTCTGCTCCTGGCTCTAAATGGCTGGAAAGACAATTGAAAAGGATCTCCCAGGCCCGACCTTGCTGGCACACACCTTTAATCCCAGCACCCCGGAGGCAGAGGCGTGCAGATCTCTGAGTTTGGTGCCAGCCTGGTCTACAGAGTGAGTTCCAAGACAGGCTCCAAAAGCTACACAGAGAAACACAGTCTCGAAAAAGAAAAACCGGGGTGGGGTAGTAGGGGCTCTCCTATCCTACCCATCTGTGGCCACCTAATTAAGGTGCTCAGAGAGACATAACTTCTTCTACCTCCTGATTTGGTCATGTGAGCCTAAACCTGAGCTGGGAGCAGTATAAACACAGCAGGCTCAATGGGTTGGGATGCGGGTTCACCTGGACATGCTTGGTTCAGATGAGAAACCCAGTTCTGTTTTCATGTGTATACACCGAACTCAACCATATGCCTGTTATGGTTCTGGGTTTAGGATCCTTACCCTTGTGACAGTTATACCCTAATAAGGTAAACAGTGTGATCTTAGGTCAGCAATGCATAAAAATGTATGTAACAAGGAACTTAAATCCACACAGGGTGCCCCTCATTGAAAGACGGCATTGGATTGAACAAAGACTGATAGGTTCTAGGAAGTGAGCCACATAGCTGTCTAGAGAAAGTGTTCTGGGCCAAGGGAGCTTGTCTGTGAATGTACATGTGCCCTGGCAGGCATGTCTGAAGGAGGGCACGTGTGCCTAAGGATGTCTGGCTGGTCCTGTGTGGGTGTGGGTACTCTCTAGAGCCGGCACGCACACGTGCATGGATGTGACGAGGTGGGGGGAGTGGCAGACATTCACAGCAACAGCTTTTGAGCGTGATTTATTCTAGGCCCGATGCCATGCTTAGGTATGCCCAAGCATTGGAGTTGCATCTAGAGAATAGTGTTAGTTCCATTTTAGAGACAAAAGCGCAGGCCAAAGTGGTGGAAGAGGTTTGTCAGACTCGACGCTGCATCTGCCCCTGCACTGTAGTTCCACACGGATGACAGTGACAAGCCTGTCTCCTAGGCACTTGTGGCAAGGCTCGGGCTACTTTCTGTATGACTGGCAGCGTGTAGCAGTGTGCCAAGACATACATTTTCTTGATGTATCTGTGCCAGTAGTCATGGCTTGGGGTGACTGTCTGGGACCTGTCGTGGCAACAGCACACCTGAGAGCTATGGGTGTGGTACATTGTTTCCGGGTGTGAGGAAAACACTCTGTGCCTGGCATTGTCCTTGTGGATCATCCCTGTCGCTACCTAGGAATGCCAGGATGTGCAGGCATCAGGACAGCTGAGGGGGGAGAGTCCTGTCCTTCACCTTCTAACCGCTGTACCAACAACAACCCACCCACCCCTTCCTATCAGTCTGTAAGTCAGGGGGCCAGAGCCACAGTGGGCACCTCCGGGCAGGTACATGGTATGCTGGCCCGTCAGTATCCACTATCCACCCATCTGCTCAGGGCCCTGGGGAGGCTGTTGGGTGGCATCAATGGCTCCCTTGTTTCCCAGTTTCCTGCTGCTCTTGACACTTAGGCCCCAGCAGGAGCCTGAAAGGAGAGGGTGTTTACTCTTCTCCCTCCCTCCCAGACTGTCATGGTTCACACCCCTCACGCAATGGCAGCAGGCTTTAACACTTACCTCCCAATGTGAGTTATTCTCATGAGCTCTCTGGAACCCAGGGCCTTCCACATTCTAGGCAAACACCCTATTACTGAAGTTACAGCTCCAGATTTTTTCTTGATTTTCTTTTCTTTTTTTTTAAGACGCAGTATTCTTGTGTAGCCCAGGCTAGTCTTAAATTCTCCTGTCTTCCTGCCTCCATCTCCTGAGTGCTAGGATTACAGACGTGTGCCACCCGTTCTGGCTCCCCTTTATTAGTTTCTTAGCTACATCCCACACCTAAGTTTGTTTTTTGAGACAGGGTTTCTCTGTGTATCTCTGACTGTCCTGGAACTTGTTCTGTAGACCAGGCTGGCCTTGAACTCGCAGAGATCCACCTGCCTCTGCCTCCCTGAGTGCTGGGATTAAAGGCGTGCACCACCACTGCCCGGCTCCCATACTTTTTCTATAGTCCCCTTTAAAAACTCTCCCCAGTTTAAATGCACCTGTCACCTGAGACCCCAAGGGACAGTCACCCACAACACTATACCACAAACGCTGACATCCACTGCCACAGTCTCTCAGCCTCTGCATGTGTCACTTGGTCTCACATATTTCTATCTGGGCGTCCTTGTCACACCACTGTTAACCAAGGGTCAGCTCTGAGCCAAGTCAAGGGAAAACCGCTCTGTAAGCCAGTCTCTGACCCAGACTGCCAAACCAAACAGAAGCTGTACCCACCAGACGGAAGGTGCAACGTGAGCCACAACACTGCACAGTTCAGCCTCGCATCACTGAGCTTTATTCTTCCTGTGTGTATATAGTTGGGGACTGAGTCGATATACAGAAGCCTCTAAGTTCCGAGCGGTGTGTGAGTACATGTGCCTCCTTCCCTTGTCATAAAGAAATGGATTTCCTCTGTGCATTGAACTTTGCTTGGAAGTTTGATGTTGCCACCACCTCATCCTAAGAAAGAGGTATCCCTCTAGGAGGCAGCAGCTGATTGTCTGCAAGAAGCCACAGGGATGTCCTCACTCACGTGGGGAGGACAAGGACAGTGGCTGAAGGAAAATGGGTGTTTCCTACACCAGTGATTTGCCTCAAATAGGCCTCCTGGAGCTACTGGACATAGAAGTGACAATAGGGACCCCAGCTGCACTGTGACTCCAGCTACACTGTGACCTGTTTAAGAGGGAGGAGTCTATCTTTAAAGGAAATCCTTCTCGTGGTCACAGTGGCCATGTTTGCCGCATTCTCAGCTAATTGACAGCATCTCAGGTCCCTGTATAAGCAAAGTTAAATGCAGTGTATGGAAAGCAACAGTTCAGAGTATAGCAAGTTCCCAGGCCCCAGTCCCTTGCCACTGGAAGGGCTCCTGGGAGGAGGGTGCTGAGACTGGGTACAGTCAATCCTGGAAGTCTTCCTGAGGGCGGTATCCAGAGCAGGAGTGGAATGCAGAAGTCCAGACCCATAAAGTGGAGGCTCCAAGGAGCTGGAAGAACAACGCCAAGAGCCTTAATTACCTTTTCCAGAGGCTGTCCCACCCCACCCCAAACCTTCCACAGCTGTTTCCTTGAGGGCTCTCATGGGGAGGCAGGGCAAGAGGGTTTGCTATGGAAAGGGGCTCGGAGAAGCAGAGGTTCCCTCTTTGTCCTTGGCTGGGATCCCCACAAGTCTGAGCAGCTGGAATGGAATGTTCCTGGAATGAAGAGCCCGCCCCTCCCCCACTCCTCTCCTTCCTGAGCTCCCCAGGGCTGTTCCAGAGATTCCCAATATGGTGATGCTCTAGAGCCACGGCTCTCAACCTTCCTACCCCCGTTACCCTTTAAATCAGGTCCTCACACTGTGGTGACCCCCGGCCATAAAACTATTGTCATTACTACTTCATGACTATAATTTTGCTACTGTTAGGATCGTCTCTGTGTTTTCTGATGGTCTTAGGCAACCCCTATAGGAGTGGAGACCCACAGGCTGAGAACCCCTGCTCTAGGGCCACCAAGGCTTGCATTGTTCCCCTGATGGAACAACCCATCTTTATCCATCTTCCGCATTGTCTCCCGTCCTAGGCAGAGTGGTTCCACCATCACAGGGCCCCACCACGAGACACTCAGTAGGACTTCTTACACCCAGATGTCAGCCCTTCGCTAGTGTTCCTGGAGCTGGGGAGATGGCTGGGAGGTTAAGAGTATGTCCTTCTCTTGTATAGGTCACAAGTTCGGCTCCCAGCACCCACACCAAACAGCTTTACAAATGCCTGTAACGTAACTTCAGTTCCGGGGGTCCCACACTTGTGTTCTCCAAGGGCACCTGCACACACACATACACCTAATTTTTTTTTTGTTTTGTTTTTTTGAGACAGGGTTTCGCTGTAGCTTTGGAGCCTGTCCTAAAACTAGCTCTTGTAGACCAGGCTGGCCTCGAACTCACAGAGATCCGCCTGCCTCTGCCTCCCAAGTGCTGGGATTAATGGCGTGCGCCACCACCACCTGGCTCACATACATATAATTTAAAATAAAAATAAATCTAAATAAAAAGAGAAAAGATTTAAAAGCAGGAGGTAGTCATGTACACCTTTAACCCTGGCACTCAGGAGGCAGAGGCAGGTGATTCTCTGAGTTGAAGGCCAGCCTGATCTATAGTGTAACTTCTAAGGCTGCACAGAGAAATTCTATCTCAAAAAACCAAAACAAGGCCGGGCGGTGGTGGCACACGCCTTTAATCCCAGCACTCGGGAGGCAGAGGCGGGCGGATCTTTGTGAGTTCGAGGCCAGCCTGGTCTACAAGAGCTAGGTCCAGGACAGGCACCAAAGCTACAGAGAAACCCTGTCTCGAAAAACCAAAAAAAAAAAAAAAAAAAAAATTAAAAACGGAAAGTCACTGCGCCAAGCTGAGACAATTCAGTTCACCCCAAGACCAAATTTCAGGTTTGTTTTGTTCTATTTTGAGCCCTTGCGCCTGCCATAGAACATGTTCTCCTCCTCTCCTGCTACCCAGGCTTTTCGCTCCCTTGGCACCAAACATCCCTGCCCAGGGAGGGGAGACAGCTGGAGTAAGCCTTGGCTGTGCTGTGCATCCAGCCCTGAACATCTTTGGCCCACCCTTGCCATAAGCCAGGTATGTTGAGTCAGCTTGACTCACCCCTAGAACCCAGACAACCAGCAAGGGTGTGTCCAGTCCTGGGGGGCTGGGTGCAAGACATACTTGGCCGCCCCTGCAGCATCTCATACCTCCCTCCCAGGACTGGACCCACTAAAAATGAGAACTCGGAAATCTCCCCAAAATGGTGCTGTCGTTAGCCCACTGAGCTTACAGGTTTACACCTTTGAGGAGACCATCTGCACACCTCAGTCTGACTCATAGGTGGCCATGGGGCTAAGAGCCTTGCATGTTGAGTGTTTGAGAGAATGTGAACGATAGGTGCTTAGTGTGGTGTCCAGTGTGAAGGAAGTGGTCCATTTATTCCAGAACTAAGGGTTCTCGTCTCTCATCACTTCTGGCCAGGGTGTAGTCAAGGAATAATGGGAGAAGAAACAGGCTGGGAATTTCCCAGCTTTCCTAAATAACTTCCTCCCCCGCCTAGACTCTCCAACTCGGAGATGCCAGGGCACCTGAGTGCCTGGTTCTCAAGGAATCAAGCTGTCAGCACAAGACACTGCCCACTGCAGGTCTGGAACACCTTCATCTGGATCTGTCAGTCGCTTCAGCCTCACGTCTAGGAACCACCTTGATCGTTAGGTGGTGGCAGAACCAAGTGCTGTCATCAGCGGAACAAATGGGTGAACACAGAACTGACTCGGGTGCCGGCAGTCAACAGTGAAAGCCTCTTCCCAAGAAGTCTTTCCTACTGGAATCTCTCTTTGAAGGCAGGGTCCCCTCTGCACCTCTTCTCGAGTTGTGCTCCCAGGGGTGGTGGATGCAGAGCAGAACCCCAGCCTACTGACGCTAGAAGCCATCACTAGAACCACTCCGTCAGTAACAGGCCTCGGGAACAGCCACCACCGCTTATTTCGCAGACCCTTACAGCCCAAAGTCAGCAAGCCCCAAGACCACGGAGGAGATAGCTGAGGGCTGGGCCACCCGGAACAGAACCGCCCCAGGCCACGCCCCCAACTCTCACGAAGCAGCTCCACACTGTCCTCTGGTGGCAATGCTAAGTTAACTGCTGGGACCAGCCTAAAAGCAAAGGGGCTTCTGCTTCTCCAGATTCACTGTTTGACACAGTGTCCTCATTGCACAAATGCCCAGGGTCCCTGAACTCGCCCAGTCTGCAGACTAGGGGCCATCAAGAAAGTATTCAGCCAGAGCTACACAGTGAGACCCTGTCTCAAAAACAAACAAAAGTGTTCAGGAAGTCATGTGGGAAGAGTGCTTTCTGATCAGGGGTAGAGTAATATAAGCCAAAGTCTGAAACATAACTTCCAGGGGCTGGAGATGTAGCTCAGTTGGTAGAGTGCCTGACCAGCATGGACCAGACCCTGGGTCCAAGACCAGACTACATAAACACAGCATGGTGGGCTTTGCACCCGAAACCCCATCATTTGGAAGGGGGAGGCAAGAGACCAGAAGTCCACAGTTGGGACCAGACAGGTAGTTCAGTAGGTAAACATGCCTCTGCCGGGCCTGACCACCTGAGCTCAACCTCTGGGACCCACTCAGTGGAAGAGAGATTGGATTCCTGCAAGTTTTCCTCTGACCTCCGCACAGGGCTCTGGTACATGCATGCCCCTCACCCACCCACAAATAAGGCATGTTTTGAAAAAAAAAAAAAAGTTCAAAATCATCCTCAGCTATTTATGGAGGTTAAGGCAAACTGTCTCAAAAAATAAAATTGAAAAATAACCTGGGTTCCAATTAGGTCTCCTGGGATAGTGACATCCAGGGAAGGCTACCTGGAAGAGGTCTAAGAGCAAACCCTTCACAGTGGAGATCGTCTGGTACATGTTTCTCCTGAAACCCATGGAGTAAACGGAAACCCGGGTCTGCTTGGTGAGGAGAGACTGGAGCCACACCTGGGGACTCTTCACAGGGTGCTACGAGGCTCAGACAGGGTGGGAAGGTGACTTTCACTTGGTTGAAAGGTGCACACAGACTAACTATATAACCTGAGGTTTGAGTCAGTGAGTTCTGTGTGCCTTGGCCCAGGCTTCTTTTTTGGGGTGGGGGCAGCCTGGCAACTGGAAGGGAAGGGAGTGGAGGGAGGGACCATCGCTGCCTATCCCCCCCACACCTGGCCACCCACTCTTCTCCAGCAAGTGTCATCTCTATGTATCCACCCACCCCACCTCTAAATCAGGTCAAAGCTGATTACAGCGAATCCCAAAGACAGTCCTAACTGTGATGGCAGGGAGCATTCTATGCCATTAGCTAAAAGCAGCTGCAGAGCCACTGCCTTCCTGCAGACCAGCAATCAGGTGGTCCTGGCATAAGCCCAGCACTGCAGCCAGCAATGTCACCTCCAAGAAGTCCTGTGCTCTCTGGGCCTCAGTACCCCGGATAAAACTGAAAGGACTCAGTAAGTCCACCCTATCCGGGGAAGCCAGGACATGCCAGAGTCCCCACGACACTGGTCCCAGGGCTTTCTCAGAAGCTCTGAGTGTTCCAGCTAAGGCGGCTTCAAGAAGGCCTTCTGAGAACCCAGCCGCTAAGTCGGTTACGTGTGGAGAGGAAGGCCTGATGGGGGTAGGGTCAGCAGATGACTCCTGCCTACCGCAATCTACTTGACTCCATTACTGATGTGACTCTGGCATCTTCCTCTTCCTCCTTCACTCCCTTCTCAGGTCTGACAGGAGGAACAACCATATTCAGAGAAGCTGTGACTCGGAGAGGGGACAGTACTGTTTTGGGTCACTGCGGACAGGGTCCAGAGGTCAGCTCTTCCTAACTGAAATACAGTGAAAAGGGCACACAGCCTAGGATCGGGTTCTCTCTCTCTCTCTCTCTCTCTCTCTCTCTCTCATGTGACCTTGAGAAATTACTTTTCCATTTTATAAAATGAGAACTTCAAATTAGCTCCTGGTTCCTGAGACAAGGTAGCACCGGTCTCTAGGTGTGATTTAAGTGAGTAAAATATCCTACCACAGCTTACAGTGAAAAAAAGAATCCTATGCCCCATTTTGGCTTCCCCACAGCCCTCCAGAGAGGCAGATATACCAACTTTACCACTGACAAGTGGGCTGTCATCAATCAGATGCAGGGAGCAAGCCAGGGGCCAGGCTACTGAGTGCAGACAGAGGAATGGGGCCTGAAGGGCATCTTGTCAGGAAGAGAAGCAGGTGGTATTTCCAGTCTGGCCCTTTAAGGCCCGCCTTTCTGGAAGCTGATGCCATGCCTGCCCCCTTGGGGCTGTTAAAGAGTGTCACCTGGCTCTGTCCTTGGCAGAGCCATCTTAAAGATACCTTGGGGAGGGCTGATGGTTGAGCAGGTGATAAACCTCCTATTCTGGTATTCTCCATCAGGCTACAAACACAGGTGACAAAACTATTAGGAATATGAGAAAAGCTGACTCCTAGAAGCAGCAAGGCCTAACTAAACACGCTGGGGGCAAATCTTCAACTTCTATGGGATTCTGTCTCCTTCAATGGGAAAGGGGCTCTGAGGAGGACAATCCCATCACACAGCCCCAAGGCAGCGCTCCTTCCATCCTGGGGTCTTACTCTTCCCTCCCTGAGAGATGGAGCCCCGCTGTGTAGAAACCGAAGGGCAGGACTTTACTTACCGTCCCAGGGAACCCAGGAGAGACCACACAAGAGCAGGTGAGGGTGGCAGATGCTGCAGTATCGCAGCAGGCTCCAGCTGGTTAAAGTTTGCCACCAAACCCTTCCTGAAGCCCAGCACCCTCCACTAGTTCAGCTCTGTAACGGGACAATAGCGCTGACACCTAACCCAACACGAGAGAAGTCACGAAAAGCGGACAGCTCCCTTAGGGCCTCAAAGATGCCAGACACCCCAGAGATGGGAGATCCCGACTACTGTACCCCAGAAAGCACCAGTTAACAAAACCTCACCTTAGTCTCATTTTCAGGGTCCCCTGGCCCCCGCCTGTCTCCTCCGCAGAGATGACGCCGTCCATCTAGCCAGCACTCGGACCCGTCCGTCCATCCGTCCGTCCTTCCGCCTGTCTCCG